CATGCAACAGAAACCCAAAAAAAAGCAGGAGTAGCTATCCTCTTTGCAGATCAAGTAGATTTCAAACCAACACTGATTAAGAGAGACAAAGAAGGAAACTACATCCTTTTGAAAGGAACAATGCAACAGGAAGAGATAACAACCATAAATATCTACACACCAAACACTAGTGTGCACAACTATATAAAACAAATACTAACGGACATGAAAAGTCCTATATGCACAAATACTATTGTAATGGGGGACATCAATACCTCACTATCACAAATAGACAGATCAACTAGACAAAAAATAAGTAATGAAGTACTAGAACTCAATCAAACTCTTGAACAAAGGAACTTAACAGATGTTTACAGAGTGTTCCACCCCACAAAATCAGAATGCACATTCTTTCCAGCTGCACACAGGTTGTTCTCCAAAAGAGACCACATACTCGCACTTAGAACATGTTTAAGTAAATGCAAAGCATTTGAAGTTATTCCCTGTATATTATCAGACCATAGTGCAATGAAATTGGAGATCCATAGCATAAGAAACTGCAAAAATTTCATAAACACAAGGTAATTCAACAACACACTTCTGAATAAACAATGGGTCACAGAAGAAATCAGACAGTTCCTTCAATTAAATAATAATGACAATACAACAAATCAGAATCTATGGGACACAATGAAAGCAGTCTTATGAGGGAAATTCATAGCAGTGAATGCACATATTATGAAAACAGAGCAAGCTCAATTAAACAACCTGATGCTGAACCTCAAGCTTCTAGAAAAAGAAGAGCAAGACAAACCCAAAGCTTATACAAGGGAGGAAATTATAAAGATCAGAGGAGAAATCAATGCAATGGAGACTAAGAGAATGATACAAAAAAAAAAATCACTGAAGCCAAGAGTTGATTCTTTAAAAGAATCAACAAAATTGACAAACCCATACCAGCCTTATCAGAAAAAGGAAAGAAAAGGCCCAAATCCATGCAATTAGGAATGAAAAGAATGAAATTACAACAGACCCAGCAAAAATCCAAAGGATCATCAATACCTACTTCCAGAA